ATTTTATATCTTTATTCCTATTTCTCAGTATTACCCAAGATTTTCAATAAAAAATGAATACAAATGGTGGTAATGGACACTGTGTTTTATCCCAATCTTACAGGTTATAATTTTAAAAATTAAACCCCCACTAAGAATATTTTGCTGTCATTTTTGTTTAATTAATAACCTTTATGGGTTTAATGTGGTTCCTTCTCATTTCTAGAGGTTTGTTTGTTTGTTTGTTTGTTTGTTTAATATAATTGGACGGTAAGTCGTATCTCGGGTTGTTTCTGAATGTATTAAGATGATCATTAAGGCTTTTCTCCTTTAATGTCTTAATGTGGTGCATTTCATTAACTGATCTTCAAATATTAAAGTAGCTTTCTATACCTTAGTTATATGTATTCTAATTTTTAGACATTCTTTCCATCTTACTGTGTTTTTAAAAGAATTTTAAAATGTGTTATGAATTAGTTATGGTAAAATTTCCCAGCTTATTTATGTTTTCTTATTAGAAATAATTTAAAATGTTGATTAGTATATCTTTGATTACTATAGGATTTTATAGTTATTTTTAATTCTTGAGTTAGATTTGGAAAGATAGCATTGTAGGCATTTGCCTAATCAGTGTAAGATTAATAATATAATGCCATTAAATGAAGCATTCTTTCTTCTTGTATTTTTAATTTCTGAATTTTATCAATTTTATTAATCTCTCAAACAACCAACTCAGATAATCTTACCTATTAATTTATTGAGTTTGCTCACTTCTTTATTACTTTCCTATTTCCATTGCTTTGCCATTATTTTTCTTCTTTTCTAATATAAGCTTTAAGGTTAATGCATGAAATACTTATAGTAAGTATTGAATTAGCTTCATGGAACATTGTATTAATTTTCTATTGCTGCGATAACAAATTACCACACGCTTTGTGACTTAAAACAGCACCAATTTGTCTTCTGACAGTTTTGGAGGACAGAAGTTCTAAATTCAAGGTATGAACACGCTGCCGTCCTCCCGGAGGATCCAGGGGAGCGTCCCCTGTGTTTCCCGCCCCTGGAGACCAGCTGCCGTCCTGGCTCGGGGGTTTCCTGGTGTCCCGTCAACCTTTCCTTTTACCATCACATCTCCTTTGTCTCTGATCACTCTGTTTCCTTGTTTTTTCTTTCTTTTTTCTAAATTTTAGTTTTTTTAAAATTTCAGATTAATACAAGGGTACACATGATAGGGTTGCAGTGTTTGAGTTTGTCAGGTAAGGTCCCTGTTGTGGTTGGACCCACACCCAGGAGGTGTGCCATCTACCCTTACGTTGTGCCCGTTAGGTGGGAGCTCCCCAATCCCCGCCCTTCTCCCCTCCTCCCCAACTTGAATTAAACGGAGTTTTCTCTTGAGCCGTCTCCTTCACACTCATATAGATGATCCACGATAATCACCAATCTTGAAATCTTTAATCACATCTGCAAAGTCCATTTGTCTGTGTAAGGTAATGTGTTCAAAGGTTTCAGGGATTGAGGTATGAACAACTTTGGAAAGCCACTATTCTGTCTATTCCACACATATTTTGATATGCAATATTTATATAACTGTGTTCCACACACATTTTGATATGCAATATTTATAGAACTGCATTCTAAAACTGTTCTAATTTCCATTCCAATTTTCCTTAGACATGCCAGTTACATAGAAATGTTTGTTGTTTTCCAAATACATGAGCTTTTTTCTACTTCTCTTTTCATAGCTTGAATTCTAACTTAACTGAATAGTATTCAGAGACTGTGGTCGGTCCTTTAAAGGTGTTGAGACTTGTTCTGTGGTCAGAATGTGGTCAAATTGTGTAAATATTCTATGGGGAGGGTCTGCTTCATGGGCAGGTGACCTGTGTAACTGTGTAACCGCGTGGGGTCCCCTGCTCAGAAGGGTTCACATTTGGTTTGTGCTTGTCGTCGTGATGATTATTATTCATTTTCACATTCGCTCAGATACGAGAACTAATTTTACAGGTACGAGTGCAGAAAGAAACATGTCATATCAAGGTTCACTTACAAAGGTGTGTCTCTGTCAACTTCTAGAAGATCTGCAGTAAACCAAATTCTAAGAATAGTCTGGTGATGAAATGAAATTGAACACAACAAAACACTGAAATATGATACAAAAAGGAACAGACAACCAACGAATTGGTAAATACACAGGTAGATTTACCGACCTCCCTCCCCACAAGTGGACTTGGGAGCTTTTCAAAAATGAAACTGAGAATACTCCCCCCTAAAAATAGCATATGAGGTAGGGGCTGGATAAAGGTTAACCACAATTCTAAGATCCTTGTTACTGATGAGGGATACAAAGTCCGTCATTAGTAAAATGGGTTTCTTATTTATGAAGAGAGTTGGGCCATTATCCTGGCGCACGTGTCTCTGACCCCCCTCTCTGCTGCTCCTACAGTCCAGGTACAGAGCTAGAAACCTTGCCCTGCGTCTCGGATGCCTTTTAACTTCTTTCCCAGCTCACCACCTCTTTATCTCTCTGGTGTGAATTCTAGATAAAATTCCTTGGTACCATTTCCTAGAAAGTTTTCCAAAGTTTTCAGCTGTGTCTAATTTGTCATGAAACTCATCCACTGAGTTTTTTAGTTGACTGTATTTTTATTTTTGAGAGTATTGTTTATTTTCAAATACGCATGGCCTTCAATCATAATTTAAACCTCTTCACCGCGTGTGTCTGTGTCACTATTTAACCAAACTCACAGTGCCTCATAACGTGTGTTCTCTTCCCCCTTTAACCAAATGCGCAACTTGCAAAGAGGTAGAGACAGGCAGACTGGTTGATGGAAAATTTAAAGTCAGCTTTATTAGTAAAGTGGTTAACAGCAGGGAGTAGAAAAAGTAAAGTCGCCAGTTGTCTGCGGAAGAGACTACTGTTTGCACCCCATTTCTGGAAAGGAATTCTGCTTTTCTACATAAAGATTTGTAATTTTTCATACAATATGCAAAACAATAAAGGGAATTAATTACGTTTTCTAAATTAAAATATAATTTCAATGTAAATAGATTCCCAATAAATTAAAACTACAAAATAAGACAAACTTAATGACTTGATATTTTGATAATAAATTATACTTAAATGTTTTATTATTATAGCATTTCCATATTACCAAAAATAGTAGAAAAAAATCTTTGAAAACACATAAAAGCCTTTTAAAGTAAAAAAAAAAAAAAAGCTAGGTGTTGAAACACAATAACTTCAATAATACTATAAGAACCAATTTGTACCTAATAAATAAGTTACCACCACCAAGAAGTTACTTTGCTAATGTTTCCTGGTGAATGTTTGCTTATTTTGAGACATTCATTCACTCGGGGTTCTGATCCTTCAACCCAGCACCACGCAACAAGGCTGCCAATGACAAGCCCCGATGTGGAGGGTGGAAAGTGGGACAGTCAGTTCAATTCAGATTTCAGGAAATAACAATGTACTTACTCTAAGAAATTATTAATTGTTTATCTGAAATGAAAATTTAACTGAATGTCCTTTTATCTTTTTTTGTTTAATCTGAAAATCCTAATCAAAAGTTTTCTAATATGACATTCTTTATGTCTAAAATAAATATAAATTCACTATAATATCATAACTATGCTATCAATAATTTTCCTTTTCCATTTTCCAAATTCATGCACAAACATTACTATATTTGATTCTTAAATAAATACATAAATAATAAATAGGTGAATAAGTTACCCTGAAAAACACTTTACAGAACACAAGGAAAGCTCAAAGCGCGCACACCTGTCCTCACAACAGCCCTGTGAGGGAGGATGGGGCTGATGCTTTTTCCATCGAGAAATAAAGGAGAGACCAAGCCACGGTCGGACCTGGCTAGCAGACTAACGTTGCCAAATTTAACAAATAAAAATGCAAGATTTCCAGCCAAATTTGAATTTACAGCATATTTCGTTGTCACAACATTTCCATGAGATCCCGGAAGCCGCATTTCTGGCAAAACCATTTAATTTTTCAAACTGAAAGGCAGATATTCTCCGAGCCCTTGACCTCATGTTTGCTCTTCTCCCCTGCAATCTCTAGGATGTTCTTATATTATTTTTAAAAAATGCTGTTACCATAAATTCAAGCAAATAATTTTTTAAATGTAAATCTGTCCAAGATATTGCCTGATACAATGCGCAGCCTGCTGTTGTTCTGAGATTCAGATTTAACCAGGCACCCTGTATTTTATCTGGCAACCTTCTCTCGGCCCACACGATCCGTGAAGTACTGATGTAGATTTGTTTGCAGTTTCATGGGCAAGTTCCCAAGGAATTCTTAGATAGTATAGAGGATGCATGGTCATGGTGTTTTATCATGATGCTTGCTTCTCAGCCCTAGAAAGAAAAGAAATGAAATGAAATAAGTGAAATGAAATGAAAAATTTAAAAATCAACAATGTTCTAATAATTAGGAAAGTGGGGGGGGTCTTAAAAACACATTTTCTTGAAAACTTAAGGCAGGCTTAGGTATTTATGTGTTAGAAATGTTCTATATTTTCAGGTATAAACTGGGAGACCAGGTAGGTTATCATCTAAAACGGGGAA